TTAGAAAGGCGACGTCGAGAACTACAAGATAACCCTTTCTGGACCGGACTTGGCAGACTCATGCCCTACCTCCTTCCCCTCCTTGGCCCCCTCCTTGGCCTTCTGATAGTGATTTCCCTTGGGCCCTGGGCATTCAATAGGATCACAAGATTTATCAAACAACAGGTTGATTCAATTTTATCTAAGCCCATTCAAGTCCACTATCAATGCATAGAGATGATTGAACCCCTGGAAACTGAGTATGACAGACCCTTGACGTCTCCTGGTACTTTAACCTTGGACTTATAACATAACTCCCTAACATCTATAACCAGACTAGCATGAGGTTGGTACATTCACCTTTGCCCGCCGAGCTTGACTGGCAGCCAGAGACAGGTAAGAGAAGTGGCCCCCTCACTAAAACACCTAAGACAGGAGGGCCGCCAAAGCTGCAGCCTCATGCCATGACAGGTGTATGCTTTGGGGGAGATCCCTTCCAACCGAAGACAGGCGCAGTCACCCGGGCAGGGACTCAAAGGTTCCTCACTGCTCTGCCTCACCTCCCCAAAAGTACCAAGAGCAAAAACTGTGAAAACTATAGCCTCTCATGGGAGGAGTCTGGATTACTTTTATTAAAGTAAAAGAGAGGAGATGTTGGAGTCCAAGCCTTAAGTGTACCCCTGCCCCAGCTTGAAACAACCAGGTGGCTTTGTAAAAACATGTTCTCCTTGTCCTGACTTGTTCTTCTGTATTTTACTTCCTTATCTTGTGAAACCACCAAGGCTCCTGACCACAGTGGAAATTCCCCAGCAGGGCCTTGCAGCCTACCACTCTCCCTGCCTTCTCTCTGCCCTTTACCTTCCCCCACCCTCCACTTTACTATATTTACACTGTGTGATTGCTCAATAAACGAGACTTGATCAGAATACTGTCTTGTCTCCATTTCTTCGTGCCCCCTGTCTATTCATTCCTCCAGGTTGTCTCAGTGTCCCACGCTGTTGCTCCGCGGGTCAGGGCAGTTTTTGGTATATATTTTTTCGTTACTGCAACTGACACACATCTAAGAACAGATTTTCCTCTACAGTTCAGTATTGGTGACCCTGAACTATAACATCTATCTCATGTATAGTATGGAGCTTGATTCTGTTCTACAAAAACCAGACAGGAAAAATATGCATACGTCTGTACGGTATTCACTAGGAGCACCGAGCCTCCTAGACTTATGCTGACCAGCGTATTTCCATTTCCCCTTCCTGATATTATTGCATTTTGTTGACTTTATCTATATGTAAAAAATCAGGTATGCAGACATTTTAATTTAATTACTTTTACTAAGCACTCAAAATATTGGGATTGGCAGGTTTCATGTGTGTACATAACTGTACTTTCGTGTTTGCAGTCATCAGGAACCCTTATCCTACACCTGGAAAGCAGTGCCGTTGCCCATCCTTAGTGTTCAGGACATACATACACACACACATGCACACACACACACACACACACAATTGTATTTATAGATGTAGTTGTATTTCTGTATGTATAGTATATATGCATATACTCAAACATAATATCTGTCAATGTGAAATCATGCACTGAATTTAGAATATTTAATATTGATATAACAAATTTTTCAAATTTTCTTACATAGAAGAGAGGAAACTGAGCTGTGTGAGTATAGAACAAATTTTATATACATGTACACCAATGAGTTTTCCAAGGTAAACCTAGCACATAAGGAAGGCTTACATTGTGAGACAGGTTGATTAGTGGAAAAAAAAATACCAGGTTGATAACTGGGAGGTAAAATAGAGGAAATGTACAATGATCACAGAGTCTGTGGAGGCTGATAGAACAGTAGACTGTAGTCTGGGATATGCTCACTGCCTGAGAGAATGGAGAGTACTACATGCTATTACCAGTAAATTCCATAGCTGCTGAGTCCACTGATATGTGACCGGAACAATTATTTCCCACATGACTCAAGGGGTAATGAGACTCTCTCAACTTCTCTTTAAAAGGACTAACAGCGTTCTTGATTTGGGAATTCTCTCGACTTGTCTTCCATAAATGCACAATTAGTGATAACAATACTAGTGGTTAGATTTTAACAGAAGGATTGAAATTATTTGGGCAAAAATATTCCTTAGCAAAACATTTTTAGGACATAAAATTATTTTGATCTCATTGTTTGTCTTATGGAAAACTTAATAATAAAAATAGGATTTAGGGGCAATTTTATTAAAAAAATTCCAAAGAAGAATAAATGAAGAAAGATGGTGGGAAAGTTGTCGAGTCTCTAAAGGACAGACCTACAATGGAGAATATTTGGGAACACAAATTACACACAATAGACCTTTCAAAAACTGTAATAACAGAGCACATGGTGTCCGGATTGGTGGTAGTAGTGTGGGGTGAGCATGGCGATGGGCATTCAAATATAAGCCTAACATGTTGCTTGAATATGTAAAACAATTCTCAGAAACATTAAAAAATAAATCAGATGGCTGTAGAGATGGCTCAGTGATTAAGAGCACTGGCTGCCCTTGCAAAGGACCAAGATTCATGGCAGCTAACAATAGTCCTTAACTCTAGTTCCAGGGCATCTGATTCCCTCTAGTGACCTCCATGGGCATTGTGTGACATAGGTGATTCCACCTATATGCAGTCAATAAACTGATACACATGAAAAGCTAATAAGTACATAAATGAAATTTTTTTCACATATGAAGGAGGAACATGAAATATGTAGTCACCATCATAATTAAATGTAGCCAGACAGTATAAATGCCATATCCACAGTTAAATGTCAAGCTCTGGGGAGAGGGTCAGTGCTGAAGTCATGTATTTCCTAACACAAAACTCACAGGAAAATCACCTGTAAATATTTCAATCTGAGAATAAAATTTTACAAAATGCTCACTATAGAACCTTGTCTCAAATCCCATTGTTTATAGGATAAACGTGCTCAGTCTGAAAATATGGAAAGCTTCTGATCTGGACCATCTGGTTGCTGATTTGATGCCTCAGGTGGTACGTTCTGTACCTGAGCTCAGGCCATGAAGGAAAAAGTGCTAAAATGCTATATTAAATGCCTTCAATGTTTGTATATAAAGTGAATTTGAAGCATAAAGAAACTCTGTTTTTAAAGTTGTATCTCATCACCAAAGGTCCTGTACATGAAAATATTGTATAACCCTAGAAAATTCTGAAATCCAATCTTTTTTCCTCCACCACTTTGGATAAGGGACACTCATTCTGTATAGAGTTCTCCTTTCCATAAGACGTGGTTTAAAGAAAGGAATATTTCATGAAGATGCAGAGAGTGAAGAAGAGTGGACGTCATGACAGGGAGGAAGATGTGTCTCTTGTTTGTCCTTACAGTGTCATGTCTCATGATTTATGACACCAAACCAATAAAAATATTATCTTCCAGGTTAAGAGTTTAGAGAAAAACACTGATGAAATCATTAGGCCTCAAGTCCTGTATAGAACAAAATAAAGGTAGTTTTCCTTATCAGATATATTACGATCCTTCAGGTGTGTGCTCCCTTTCGTATTGATGAAGAACTATGAACCCAATATGGACTATAGAACTCTGACCTAAGTATAACTTTGTTCTATGTGGCAGATGAGTAAGTACTAACAAATGTATTTCATAAGAACCTATGTACTCCTAATAATAAGCCTAACAATAGGAAGTGTCCTCGTTGATGTATGTAGGAGGAACAGATCTTTGTAACAGTGTTTAAGGCTTTAGCCTTCTAAACCTCTACTTCAGATCTCTGTTAGAAACCTGTATGAATGAACCTTCCACTGTAAGCTTTAAGCTGCCATAGAAAAGATGACAAAATGACAAAAACCATGGTCTGTGAGCACCTCGAAGAATGCTGTCTCTTGCAGTGGTCCTGAAGATACATTTGCTGCAATGTGTCTTATTTTTTCAAATATTTGGGCAGGTTCTGGAACCAGCAACACTACATGTTACTGCAAATGTCAGAATCCTTACCCACACTTTCCCAAAATACCTGCTTTAGTAGAAATGCTGTTTTAACTTGTTATAATAACCTGAGGGTACATATACCTCCATGCTGGAAGTCTCAAACCCATCAAGTGATTACTGCTAAGAGCTGACGTGAGAAATCGTACAAAACCCTGTATGTACTTCGTGTCAGTGCCTCAGTATCTCTGAGCAGATAGCCAGAGTGTGGCCAAGGATAAATTTCCTCTACTTCTTGAGCATGATTTGATTCTTCTCCCATGTCCAGGTCAATCTCAGGGTAATTTTTATAGCACTATGATTTGAACGCCCCATACATATTTATGTGTGTGGTTTTTCTTTTTTTCTTTTTTTTTCATATCTTAGAATTTTTGTAAATTGCTCTCTTAGGGAACATTGCTACAAAATTGCTGCTTTTTCTTGAGGGGTGGGAGGAATATTTTATTGGTTTATGATGCTTTTAGTATTTGGGGGATGGGCTCTGGGCATGTGTATTTAGGCTGTGTGTCATCTTTTCCTGAGTTTTTATCCGGGGAGTGTGGAATCAGAAGATGAGGTTTCAGGCTGGGTGTCTATAGGGGTATCTCAAGGGGACAGAAACCAGGCTGGGGTACTAGGTAGGGGGGTATGGTGTCTTACTAGGTCCAGATGTTGTCTAAGCCCACAGCAACCCTGTAAAGAGGCTGTGTTCTGCGTCCAGGGGTAGACTGACAGCTGGAGCCACTTGGTTGGGATCTAGAGGTGCGTTGGAGAGGCGGGGTTGGGGCTTGCAGTGGGTCTGGAACAGTCACCTGGGCCAGGGGAGTGACCCAAGAAAAAGAGGTTGAGCACATTCTGTGTGGTTAGAAAAGGGGTGTGGAATGGGAGGGCTCAGATGAGTGGCGTTAACGGAATTTCCGGTGGAGTGGGAGGGACCAGAACCGAGGCCGAGAGGTGCCAAAGCCTGTCGGGATCCTGGGGACTTCGGGGCCTAGAAAGCGCCACTGAGACCGAGGGAGCACTCCACTCCGGGAGCAGGGTGGTTTGGAACTAAAGGCGGACGGAACCGGACACGGTCTCATCGAGATGTGAAGGTTCACCCCAATCACAGGAGCCACGTGGAGCGGTTGGTGCAGAGTGGATGTGGGGCGGGACAAGGAGGGACTGGCGGGTTTAAGGAGAGGGAGAACGAATTTTTATCAGCAGTTTTATAGTTCCCAAAGTAGTCTCATAAAATAATTAGTGCACTATTTATTTTTGAGTCAGGGTCTCCCTGTAGCCCCAGCTAGCCTGGAACACCAAATGTATACCAGGCTGTCCTTGAACTCACAGAGATCTGTCTGTCTCTTCCTCCTGAGTGCTGGGGTTAAAGGTCTGCACCTCGCCTGGCTTATGTGCACTAGTTGAATTAATGTGCTGAATTTCGCAAATACGGCAGACTGATGGCGAATGTAAAGGAATTACTTCAAGTCAATGGTTTCTCCCCTTGCTGTTGAGGCAAAAACAACGCTCATCCAGGTCAAATTCATCCACACGTTCTGACTTCCATGTTCTACTTTTCTCTATCTAAGGGAGTTCCGTTTGCATCCGGATCCTTGCCATCTCTGGAGAGCTTATTAGAATGAGTCAAAGAAGGAATGATTCTAGATTGCATTGAATCAGAACATACATTTTAGCGGACATCCTGTTATAGTTGTAAACGTTAACATTGAAGAAGTAAACTTGTAATTCACCATTAATGTTTCATCTGCAATATATAGTTTATCATGGGAATCCAACACTAAAATGCACACTTTTCTTTTGAGGTCTTAATTTTAGATCCTCTAGTCCATAGAAACAGTACACATGCTGAATACAGGTGTATCATGCCATACTAGTTCCACAGTTAGAAAAGGCATTAGAGAATATGACAATATGGAAAAGCTTCTGTAAAATAGTTTTGATCACACCCTACATCAGAAAATGCCTCTCAATGTCTTCTTGGTTCATTGTTCCCTTATTCAAGGAAAGCAATCTGCTGTACACACATGGTCAAACTGTTATTGTTCATTTCAGGAGATTTTGACATTTAGTAATGTGGCCGTGATCTTGTCACAGGAGGATAGGGAATTCCTAGATCCTGCTCAGAGCACTTTGTACAGAAAACTGATGCTGGAGAATTACAGCTGTCTTCTTTTTGTTGGTGAGAATATTTTTCTTACAGAATTTCTTATGCATACTAGAGTTCTATGGGAACTACTGTGTGTGTGTATGTGTGTGTGTGTGTACATGTGTGTGCACACATATGTTTGTAACTTTGTGTGAATGAGTCTCATATCTCATAAAGTGAACTTCTTAGAGTAGAAAAGAACACTTTAATGTAATTTTGTCTATTCTCATGTTTGTCCTTTGGGAGGGGTTGTGCTTCTTTCATTTTGTTCCATGGCCAATTTAGAAACTTTATAGCATATAATATTGTCACCCAATCACAAATTTCCATTTCCAACCTGGAATTTGGACTGAGATGCAATTAGAGTTGGAACACTAGTTATGCAACCTGAAGCTCTGTAAATATCACTCTTCTGACAGAATATTCCAATCGGAGAGTCATTGGTAGTATTCTCTGTTTTATTCTCTCTTTATTTATTGAGTGAACTACTGTGTTAGAAACCCAGCTCCTTTCTAAGTACTCACATCATGAACCACCCAGCACAGGCAAACAAAGGTGCTAGAGCACTTGGTGTCTTGTGCACTAAGCTGTGAGCACCCGGAATCCTGGGGATGATGGTGATGTCCTGAAACACACTCAAGAGGCAGCTGGTCTTGAGGGAAAAACCCTTCGCACTTTATTAGTGTGGCGAAAGCTTATCATCAATTATTTGAAAAAACATTTGTGAGACATGGAATCAGGTAGCCATAAATTAAAATGCAATATTATACGATAGATTTTACCTATTAAAATTAATTTTTAAACAAATGTTTTATTTGTTTTTTTTTTTATTTTATGTGTATGAGTGTATTTCCTGATATGTGTAAAGGTGTCTACAAGAGGGCATTGGAACCCCTGGAACTGGAGTTACAGGTGTTTATTAACTGCTGTGTGGGTGCTGGGAACTGAATCTTGGTCCTCTGTAAGAGCAACCACTGCTCTTAACTATTGAACAATCTCTCCAGTCCCATAATATTTAATTTTGGTGAAGAAGAATATGTATTTAGGTGATGCAATGTGAAATTGACTATTGAAATTGACTATTAAATTTCACAGCACTTCATGTATTCACATTTTAAAATGTACATATTGGAAAAAATGTTACAACATAGTTTTGAGATTGAAAACTGCCTATAAGCCTAATTATTATAAAGTGACTGGTCCTTGAGTATTGCCTGTGAAATTTTAAGAATGTGAGACTCTTAATTTCAAGTAAAGCGCTCCAAATCAATAGAAGAGACCCATTTAATGTCTCAGTTAACTACATGATGAGCCAGAGGTTTTTGTTTTTTTTTTAATTTTCTATTTTACTCTCTTTGAAACTCAAGTGAACACCCAAATGTCCCTCAGCCTGTGAAGGCATCTTGTAAATATGGACATTTATAAAACAGAGTTCTACTCAGCGGTGAAGGAAAAGGAAACCAAGGAATTTGCAGGTAAGCGGATGGAACTGGATATGGATGGAGTAAGTGAGGGAAGACAAATGCTGAAAAACAAGCCACAGGTGTTCTTCCTAGTGTGGCTCCTACCACCAAATCCTGAATAGATACTCAATGGACGTTAATTCAGTATGGGCTAGAGATATGTGTGCTCCCTAATTATGGCAGGACTGCTTGAAGAATAGGGAAACTACTGAAATGTCCATTGACAAATGAAAATTTACTGAAATGTGATATTTCTAAAGCATACACCAAAACTCCATCACAGAAAAGAGAGGAATCTTCTCATACGTGAGAACAGGATTGATCTGATGAACACCGTATCAGGTAAAGGAAGTTGAAACACAGCAGTATATGATCTCAGTCTTCAGAGAAATGGAAAAAGAAAAGATAGATGACAGATGTTGAAGGTACAATAGCAGTTTGCCGTGAATGGGGAGAATGTGGGGTAAAAAACAGACACAGTGTCATGGCTTCATGGCTTAACTTCTACTGTTCTGTGCAGAATAAGGTAAATAAAATTCTCCAAGTTGCATTTTGATCAATTTGGATACACTCACCATAAGAAAGGATAAAATTTTACATGTGGATATATTAATGTCTGACTATATCAGTAGTCAATGTATGTATATAACAAAATATCAAGGAAACCTCATAGATATGTAAAATATTGTGTCATCAGACAATAAAGGTTTCATTTTTATTATTTATTTTTATTTTATGTGTAAGAGTTTTTGCTTGCATGTATATAAGTGCAATCATGTGAGCCGTGTCTGTGGAGGCCGGGAGACAGTGTGGGAACCCCTGGAACAGGTGTTATGTACACTTGTTGGCACCATGTGGGTGCTGCAAACTGAGCTCAGGTCCTCTGCAAGAGCAGCCAGTATTACTGACCTCTGAGCCATCTCTCCAGCCCCAAGAATAGACTTTTAAATATCACAGTGAACTATTCCTGAACTTTAGCCTTTAAAAGGAAAACTCTCCCTTGTGGCTCCGCCACAGATTCTGTCTGTGAAGCTCAGTAGAAGCATCAGTGCTGTTTCATTAACAGTCACAGGCAGAAGACAGTGAGGCTGGGGGTCAGCTGCCAGTGCTTCTGAAGGAAAGCTTAGTGTAGCCTCTATTCCAAAGGATGAAAACCGTGTTACTCCGCCTTGTTTAGGTAAGGAGGTGAGGCGGCTACATTCCCATGATGTAGTAGGAATTCTTGATCTTGCCGGCAGGGCGGCCACTGGAAGGCAGGAAAGCAGAAACTTCTATGGGGTCTCCATGTTGAGGTCTTTCTTCCTGTGCATCCACTGTGATGGCGGACAGTCAGAATGGCCTGTTTTGTTTTCTGAGGTGCTTCTTCCTCTTGTTATGTTGGCAGGTGACATGGATTTTCAGTGAACTGAATGGAAGTCTCTCAAAAGAAAGAGAAGATTGTTTATGTAAGATTGCCTGGAAAGGAGACTCACAGAGGGAGGAGAGGAATGGCTTCTTTTCAGGTAAATTCATCCAAGGGCCTGGTCCACTTATACTTTCTTTCTCTAAATGGTATTTTGAACTTGTAAGCTTTTCTGATCTTGAAATTAGCTATGTAGACCAGGCTAGCCTGAATCTCACAGAGGTCCCCATGCGTCATCCTCTGGAGTTCTGGGAGTAAAGGCCTGTGCCACTTATGTAGCATGTCCACCTCTCCATTTTGTCCTCCAGTGCTTATATTTTCCAGACTAATCCAAGGAATTCATCAACAACCACCTCCCATATGCTTCTGACGTCATAGGTGAAACTTCAAACATTTCAGTTTTCATTTCCTAAGGAGGATGGACAGGGGTCCGCATATGTCACTGTATTCTGGTTTCAATTGTGCCTAAAACTGATCATTTTGTTTTATTTAATTCAGGTATCA